AGGAGCAGATCGCGCGGATCCAGGCTACGGATAACTGACCATCACCGTGCTAGTTCCCGCACGCGCCACACTGGTATCAACTCTCAGCCAGGCCGGAACCGCACCTCTTCTAGTCCTACCCACTCACCGCCCTGCCCCAGGCTGTACCTGGAGCCCCGCCCCTACCCGCACCCCGCCCGCACCCTGGCCCCGCCTGGCCCGCCCCCAGGCCCGCCCCCCTACCCGGCCAGCCCCTGCCCGCTGCTCTGGCGCAGCGGGGCTCCAGCCTCGCCTCAGTCCTGAGCCCGGCGCGCCGCAGCTAAGAGTGCCCCGGAGTTCGCGCGCCGGAGTTCCACCCGACGCACCGTGCCCGCAGTGTCCGCCGCGCCCCAAGCGGGCATGGGGCGGCCGGGCTGAGCGTTGCATCCCACCGCCGAGACCCGCCGGCCCTCCAGCCGCGGCCCCGGAGCGCACGGACGATGGCGAAGACTACGTCCGGCGCCGCGGGGCTGCGGCTGCTCTTGCTGCTGCCTCTGCTAGGCGAAGGTGAGTCCTGTTGGCGGCCAGTGTCCGCAGCAGCCGGGGCTAAGTTCGCGCTGAGCGGACGCGCTCAGAGACGCGTTTCTATTTGGGGTGGGCAGCGGGCTGCGCGGTTGACCGCCGCCTGGCCTTGGCGAGGTGGCTACGGCGAGCGGCAGCCAGGGCGCCTCCGGCCGCGGAAAGGGCGAGTCTCGGGCCCGATCGGGACGCAGGCTGGGCGGCCGGGACTCGTGTCCAGAGCCCAAGCCGGAGCCGCGCATCCTAGGTTGGTCCTGCCTCCAAGCTGCAGCCGGTCCTCGAGCACAGAGAACGGACCTTGCAGCTGTTTGGGGCACGACCGTTCAGGTAGCCGCAGGAAGCCTGCGACTTGCCCGGGAATTCTATTTCTGCCGAAGACTGCTGCGTCCTGATTTTCCTTCGCGCTTCACTTGGGTGCGTTCTTCCACAGCTCTGCTTCCCTGGCCGGCTGAGGGGTGCGGAGGCTCCTGTATGAAAGCTTGTTTTTTCCCTTGTGCGTTTTTTGCCGCCCTGGGCTTTCAAAACCTGAAAGGCTATGGTTTCAGGAGTGTCTTCCCCCGGAGCCCGCCGTAGTCTAGCCCCACCCGGTAGTCGAGAGTCGTGCGCCCCTGTCTGGTCCGGGCACCTGAAGGTGCAGCCTTTGAGGCCATATCGTGGCTCGGGGCCGACTTTTACCGAGCGCTTTTGACCACCTTAGGGTGAGTTAAGAATCTATGTCCCTATCATCGAGAGCGCTGTAGGATCCCATTATTAGGTGTGGCTTTGCAAAAGCTGACCCCACTCCTAGACCCTGACAAAATGAACCCCAAGGCTGAGATCATTGGACCTCTTGACCGCACATTTTAGAGTCCCCCAAACCCGCCTTAACTTGATCTGCTCCTGGAGTGAATGCTTATGTATACACCAAGTTTCCTTCGGTGAGGGAAGGAGCCGCCCTCCCCCACTCCTTACAAAGGGCTTTCTTTCTCTTTCTTCAGCCTTTGGGAAACAGAAAAGGCCCATGGTCACTCTGCCTATAGTCCCAACTCCTGCAGAGAGTTTGGGTTTACAGGTCTGTCCAAGGTTCGTTTGTGGGTCTAGCCTCCCAGCAGAGCAGAGGTGAAGGTAGAATGGGCGCCCAGTCCATGAGAGTAAGGCCCTGGGGGAAAGAACCTTATCCTGCCAGGGTGGGAAGAATGGGGATGGGCACTCTGTCCCTAGGTTTGGGATTTTGAGGTCACAATGCTGCAAGCAGGAGGCTGTACAAAGGACAGACATAAACACAGAACTTAACACATTTTCTGAAGCCACCTGTGACTCTGGGTTGCAATTTGTAGTTATGGGTGTGAGGTCAGGTGTGAGCCAGGAAGCACATGTGCCCAGAAGCCTCTCAAACCTTGAACTTAGCTGGGTGCTCAGCAGGGCTGCAGGGACCAGGCTCAAGGGTTCAGCTTGTGGCACTTGGCAAAATGCAAGTAGCTTTCTGTGCCAAGACCTCTGGCCCACAGTATTGGGTGGCAATGGACGGTTTCCCCAATTCAGGGAATGTGACACTCCATTACCCACTGTCTTCCCCTGGGATGACTAGGAAACCATGATTAGTAGCACTTGGAGTGGAGAGGTGGCCTGGCACCCAGGGGAGATAACTGGGGCTTTTGGAGAAGTATTTGGGTCCCAATCTTGAAGCTGCCCAGCCTTGCTGTCATTGATGTGCTCCAGGCTACTACTAGAGAGCAGGGTGGAGCTTCCCTGCCCCCAGAACAGGGAGCAGCCTAGCCTCTGGCGCCCTCTTGTGATCACAGCGCTCTAGTGGTCAGATCTGTTGCCAGGGGTCTGGGTCTCTAGATGTGGGGGCCTTCCTCAGCCCATACTCACACTGATCCCCAAGACACACACCTGCCCTTTCTCAAGAAACATGATCAAGAGGCTTTGGGCAATACGCACTCAGTGTGGTCTGTCTCCCTCACACCCCTACCTTCATCAGGTGTACCCAGAGACCCCATATGTACACATAAGGGAGGTATGACCTCCCTCCTCATGTACTCAGGCACTGTCCAGCAGCCCTCCTATCCTGAAATTAGAGCTGGAGGGTTTCCTTGTGGAAGTTGTTTGAAGTTTCTTGCCTTTCATTGTTCAGCATGGTCTATCTCTCCCCATTACATGGACCAGGATACTGATTTCCAGCATCTGAACCCTCCGCCACACTCCACCTGTGCCAGGCAGACCTACCACTGCCCTCCCACAGTGAGCATTTTGTCTTTTGTATTCCTGTATTTTTTTCTTTTGCTCAGCACTTCTAGCTGCAAGGAAGGGCCTGATCTCTCTACCTGTGGACTCTAGGACCTTCTGTTCTCAGCACCCAAGAACTGGGTGCCACAATGTGGCAGGGCCCCTCTCTAGACAGCCCTTCTGCAGCAGGAAAATGGGCCCTCCTCTGCCTGTACCACCAGGTACTTCCTTCTAAATGGGCACCTGTGGCCAGGAAGATACAGTCTCAGCTCTTCAATTCTCCTTTGCCACCCTCCTGTCTCTAAGGCCAGGAGCCAGTGGTGACTTGTCCTCCATCACCACAATCACCTGGACCTTGCCTCCACCGTGTCTCCAGGAGCTGTCTGCACCCCTCACTCTGGGCTGGGCTCACTGGTGGGCTCCCAAGGATGGGGCTTCCAAGCAGGCAGCAAACGAGGAAGATATTGAGCCCTTTCACTAAATTGCCGTTATTCTGCAGAATGGCTTTAGGGAGGGCTAAGTGAATCATTGCTTCTTTGGTGGTGTGAAGAAAATGGGATACACTCACCTAATGGGGCACTAATGGCCTTTTAGCCAGGGGAGGAAAAAACTAATTAAAAATTATGGTATTTGCTGAAATGGATCCCCGGGTGCCAAGGGCAAGGGAAGCAGGAAGCTGCCACTTCCAGTGGGGCTTTCTGCCCTCTGTAGCCTGGCAGAAGGACCCTGTAGGTCCCCTTGTCTTCACTAGGGAAAGCAGAAACAAGCAATAGTCACCCCACAGGGGCTCACAGCTTACTGTCCCTCAGTTTCATGCTCCCTGTATACTAGCTAACTTTATTCTCCTGACAATTATGCGGTTTGTGGTCTTGTTTTCCCACTTCACAGGTGAGGAAACAGCTTTCTCCAGCCTATGGACTCTGAAGCCCGTGTAGACTTAGGATCACCACCCCTGACTTTTAGCAGTCCCCTTCCCTGGTCCATTGGCGGTGGGTGTCAGGGGCAGGGCTTAGGAGGGGACACAGAGGAAGAGAAGTGGCCCAGAACCTGCCTACCCACCACAGTGAGTCACCCACTTTGGGCTAGAGGTACTCTCGGGACAGTCTGGCCCAGATCTTGGAGTGACAGGTGCCACTGCCCACTGATACCCGAGGCAAGGGCTCCTCTGAGTCAGTGCAGAGTTCTCAGTGGGACATTGCCCTAGCTGATGTCTAGGAATCCCATGGATAGGAGCCAGCACCAGGCCTGGCCTAGTCTGAGCTTGCCCAGGGAAGGGACATGTGTGTTCCAGGCATAGCAAGAAGATGTCCCTATGCTCATCTGTTGCAGCTGGGTGACCAGGACGTGGCCTCTGCACTCAGTGTCTGTCTGGGTACCTGGCATGTCACAGGCCTGCTGTGCTGAAGAAAAGGATGCAAGGGTGGGAGCTGGGCTTTAAGAACCTGGGTGTGGCTGTGTTTCCTTCTCCTGAGGGCCCTGGGACAGACTGGGGGAAAAAAGCACCCGTTGGGTACCTAGCAAGTTGGAGAGAGGGCCTGTCTGTCCTCACATAGCACTTCTCTCCATTGCAGACAAATGACCACATTGGCACTGTGGAAGACCCTTCCTGGGGAGGTGGGGAGGCACTCCTGGGCTTGGTGGCCTGCCCTGTGGCCTGCCTGCTGGGGATTTCAACTCAAGCCTCATCCTCCATGTCTGCTTTGCTGTCCTCCTCTTCCTCATTTTCCCAGTTGTGTGAATGACTTGATAGTAACAATGATTGGTTGATAATACTCCCCAGGAGAGGGAACCAGTGGTGTCCAGGGCTTTTCTAGGGATAGCCATGCACTTGGAAAGACAGCCCAAAGGCCTTGAGGGTTGCTTGGTAGGGAGAACCAAGTAGTAAAGGAAACACTAAGCAGTTAACTCATCATATTCATCATATGAAAGAGAAAGAGAGATTTAAGCAGTTAACACATTATGTGTGTGTGGGGGGGTAGATATTTCTGATGGGGTGTGCAGCAGGCAGCAAGGTAAGGTTACTATGGCAATGAGTGGCATGCTGCCAGGCAAGGAGCGCCCAAGCCAGGGGCCACAGCGAGGTGCTGCAGTGGGAGCCCCTATCTCCCTGGGTATGTGAGGCTGTCTGTCCTCCATGCTTCATCGTGTGGAAGTGCTTTGCCCCTTGGAGGCTATTGGAATCAGTATGATGGACTCAGAGGTCTCTCTGGGAGTCATGATCTGGATAGTGTTCTATTAGGCACTGAGTCTGAGTGGGCTACAAGGGATGAAAAGGTCCAGGCTTTTAGGAGTCCACCACCCACAGCCAGGGCTCTGTTGTGGGTTTAGGGGCAGCTGAGGCTGTGCCTCCTAGAGCAGGGCTTCACTTCCCCTCAGTGGTCCTTGGAGTACTGGCCCTTTCCACTGGGGCTTCAGGACACAAGAGTTCATGTGGACTGGGCCTCCTCCTTCCTTCCCCATCTAGTCCCCTCACCATTCACCTTTCCTGAGCTCTGGGGCCATGGACAGGCTCTGGGCCTCCATCAAGCTATGGTCTCACAGTTTTGTGGTTGCAGGGACTTTCCCTCCCCTTACCCCCAAGGCTGGAGGCCGTGAAGCCAGTGGACCCCTGCCCACTCTGAGACCCTGGAGGCTAGCAGGACAAGAGGAGGCCCCTGTAAGAGCTGGTACTTCTAGAAGCCTGCCTGTGGGGAAAGGATACTGGTAGGACCTCGAGGGTGGCTATTCAGATACCACCTGGGCTCTGCGAAGAGCAGGTGGCCAGCCTAAGCAAACAGAAA